CTTTGGATGAAGCTGTTTTTCTCCTCTCTCTCACAAAGATATGAGTTGGGAGGAAACTAAAAAAATAGCTTATCTCAGTGTCATCTCCTATATTATAGTCATTATATTCATTGTTCCACCATATGAAGCTGTTTTGCCGAACACTCCTTCCAAAACAACTCATCTTCAACAAAAAAAAAATGCTTATGAAGTTATTTTGCAAAAAAACAGCTTATATAGTGAAGCTGAGCTATAACAAATGGGGCGTTGCTTGTTTTGTTTGGTTCTACAGGCAGTCAATCAAATTGTCACTGCAATCCTCTACCGCACAAATCGAGCGGGAACGGATTTCGGCAGCCGCGGCATCGGTTGCCCCGGGCCCCGGCAGCAGAATACGTTGTATATTAAACAAACAGAGACAAATGTAATTGGTTGACGCTGCGATCGGTTCCCCTGTAAAACGAGCTAACCAAACAACACCAGGCTGTCTCGGATGGGTCATCATGGGTTCGGGAGAGTGGTGGCCGTAAGCAAGCTAGCTATATGACCTCACTCTTCTAGCTACTTAATTACCCCCTCCGTGTCTAAAAAGCTTCGTCTAATAAACGTTAAAAAATCGTTCCAGAAAAAACAAATTAGTAGGGCCGGCGGCGTTCACATGAACCGACCTTCACCCAGTGCCGGTCCTATGATTTTCAGGGTCTCTGTTGATCTCGTCGCACCGGCTTCTCTTGACCATGTATAAAATCTTATAATATATAGGCACTAATTTAACTTACGAAATGAAAGGAAATTTAATAATATATTTTTAATTTAACATGTCTGATAATTATCGAGGAACAATGTAGATTAAAAAAATAATATATTCGTTTTATTTTCTCACCTATGACAAATGTTTCTTACGTAACATTCTAAAATTCTAACACCTAAATTAGAAGAAAAATATGACTATATAGATACAAAGTACTAGAAGTCTAGAATACTATACAAATAATTAATTTGGATTAAAAATAAAAAGAAAAAAAATACCTTGGGCCTAAACAACTGATCGGTGATTGTAATTCGTAAGAAGCCAAGAATCAAGATGTCGTCGTCGTGGAGCCCTGCCTGGTCGCTATCCTCGTGCGTCGTGCTCATGTCTTCGCTAGTCTAGCTCTTTGCGCCAGCTCCACGTGTGTAAGGCGCACGTCGCGAACTCACGATCAGAGTGTGCTGTGGACAGCGTGACTCCTCGCCTCCTCTCTATCCTAGGGCCGTGGGAAAAAGAAACTAGGAAATAAATGTCGATGTTGTCTTTTTGAGGTCGTCTGGTCAGTTCTATGTCTCTCTTCTTATTAGTTTGCTAATGCCTAATGGATTATAAGACCTGGGGATTTGTATACCTGGGCTTAGGTCCCTCATCCGCTTGGGCCCTCGGCTGTCACACCTCGTGCCCTACCCCTAGGGCCAGCACTGCCTTCACCCTGTTCACTTGATCGTTTCTGTGGCTTATAAGTCGGCTGATATTGTTTTGTTGTGAGAGAAAAATACTATATCATGACTGATAAACATGGCTAATATGATCGAGCGAACAGAGTGCTTGATGCTCCGACCATGATGACAGAGAATTGAATATTGTGCATGCATACGGGCCATTAGTACAAAATATATTCAAGTACAAAAAGTACGTATTTGCTAATTTAATAAGTAAATGGCTATTTTTTTTGGAAAAAGTATCTGTTGTAGATTCTTAGTTGTAAACATGTCTCCATCCTCAGAGAATGGTTAGACTACAAACTCTCCTGTTTCTATGAAGGACTCTTGGTCGTCTGCGAAAACATTGTGAAGAAAAACATGAACCCTAGGCCCATTTGACACAAAAAAAATCGAGGAATGTTAAATGCCATTGTACCGCTCGCTTGCGAAAACTCTTGACTCGCTGGCTAGATTGACAAACGGAGAGGAACAAAAGAAACAATGGTTTTCGTGGTGCCGCCAGTACTCCTTCACTACCGTAGCTCTCAGGCGTTGCAAACAAACGCGACAATGCCAACTAATGGCATGTTCGTTTGAATTTATCATTAAAATCTATAATATTTTTTCACAATAAAATAGCTTCAATCGATTTATCAACCGGTTTTAATAGCAGCCGAACGCGGCTGGAGCCGCGCTGCGAGCCCCATCCGAAAGAAATCTGGCGTCTCCACCTCATCCACCAATCAGGTGGTCGCCAAGACGCCCGGCCCGGGTGATTGGGCCCAGCTGGGGCCAGGGGCCGTCGTGTTCCACCGTCGACCACGCGAGGGAGCTGTGCCCGCTCGCGTCGTACGTCCGTACCATGAAGTCGCGGTCAGGGCACCTCAGCGGCGGGGCGCAAGAAGAGCAGGTGCAGCAGGAGTGCAGGAACGCGTCAAAAGTCAAAACACAAGGCAGGCGCTTGGCCGCTTTGGTTTCCGGGAATCAGAACCAAAGAGAAGACAAGGTACTCCATGTAGCAGCCGGAATATAGAAAACAATCTACCCGTAATAAATAAATCCTTAAATGGAAACACTACTATATGCTTTCATCACCTGCTCCTATTAGTATTTTGTTTTGTTTACGACGAGCCTATTCGAAACTGGGCCCAACCGGGTCCGAGCCCCAGCACCCTCAGGTCCACATCGCACCAAAAAGATAGGATCCGCCCAGATTCCGTTCTCCCGCGCGGGCCTGGCCGTGTCAGCGAGGGTCTTGTTTAGTTGACCAAATTTTTTGAAAAATAGTATTATAGCATTTTTGTTGTTATTTAGTAATTAGTGTTAAACTATAGTCTAATTAGGTTTAAAAGATTCGTCTCGTGAATTTCGACTAAATTGTGTAATTAGTTTTATTTTTTTATTTATATTTAATACTTTATACATACGTCTAAAGATCCAATGTGACGAATAATCTTAAAAAAAAAAAAATTGGGTACGGCACCAGGTCGCACCGCGCGCCGACCGCTTGCATGGAGAGGAAAATATCTCGGCGCGGCACCGTCCTCTGTTGGGCCGCGAGCGACGAGTCCGGAGTTCCACCAGCCAAGAGCGCCTGCCACGCCGCTCGGCTACGTGGGCGCACCTGCACCACGGCATGTTACAGTACAGGATTTCACATGCATCATAGATGATCATACTATGCTTCATACGTACTCCTACTGTAGATTATTTAGGCCTCATTTAAATTTAGTGTATAAAATTTTAAGGTATCATACGAGGGTGTCAAAAGGGTGTTCAAATATTAATAAAAAATAAATTACAGAATCCATCAGTAATTCGTAAGATAAATTTATTAAGTCTAATTAATCTATCATTACCATATTTGTTACGTTGTCAAACCATTCTATATTTTTTTATTTATACTTGTCTGCGTTGGGAGTTGGGGGATGACCAATTGACCATTGACTTTTCTCCGCGAGGGAGGCGTGTATACTGAATGGATCGTGCATTCTCGATCCGATGCCTCTGTGTCAGCGAGCTGGTGTGGACTGGCTCCTTGAGCAGAGGATCACGCATGTGAGAACACAAACATACCATGGATCAAGCAAGTCGTCTACTACTTAGTACGTACCGAAGAGAGGCTCGTAGCTAAACCATTGACTCGTTCGTCGGATTTGGCTTCGGGTCCACCGTCCGTCGTTAACAAGTCCTCTGACTGCCTCTGTCAAAGACAGGACAGGGCAGGCCAGGGGTGTTTAAGTCCGTAACGAAGTATCGAGGCAAAGCTGCTCTGCCTTACCTGTCATACTAAACCTCCCTTATTATGCTTTATTAGAGTAGTGGGGAGGAATGAAACACGCATCATCGACATTGTGCGATTTCCACAGGAGGGCACGACTTTTAGTTTTACACGACACAAACGTTTTAGACCAACCAGACGACGAGTTATTCCCATCACGTACGGGACCAAAGGGAGTCAACACGAATTAAAAAGCAGGCATGGCCGCCGGCGTCGAAGCTCCCTGGCTGGCTCCGTCCAGACCGGCAACGATTCACACGTGCCTCACCTCCTCTCGACTCGCGTCCGACCCTGGATCATTTGGGGTTGGTCAAATTGATTTTAACACATGCCATTGGAGAGAAGAAAGCAGCTTTATCCATTACTACTTTGACAACAAATTATCAAAGAATTTTGAAGAAGACTGTCACGCGTGCCGAGGGATGGAAGAAACCACCTGATTGAATTTTGTTACTGAACATTGATGCTATAGACCCGAAAGGGGCGATGGGGTAAGGGGGAGTTTTAAGAGATACAAATGGTGTTTTCATAGCGGCAGCTCATAGCTTTATCGAGCATGTGGTGGATGCGCCAACTGCTAAAGTGCATGCTCTTAGAGAGGGGCTCCTACTAGCCAAGCATGTTAGATGCAGCCGAATCATGGTTGAGTCGGACTGCTTAGAGCTGGTAGGGATTATGAAGCAGGACAGTTTCTTAGCAACAACAGGAACGCCAATTTATAAAGAATGTAAGATGCTTTGGCAGAATTTTTCTTCAATTTTCATTGAGCATTGTAATAGAGAAATTAATAGAGTAGCGCATAATTTAACAAGTTTAGCTATTCAGTCAAAGCATATCTATATTTGGGTCGATGAACCCCTAAATGCTTGAAGCCCCGGTGAATATCGTAACACTATTTTCGAATCAATAAAGTGCGTGAGGTGGCTTCCTAAAAAGAAAAAACCCACGTTCCACATTGTTGTAAAAAAAAACCCCCACATTCCACAGTGCTAGTCCCTGTCCGAGTCCACCGCACCGCGTCCCGGTCCCGCCCTCCATCGCCACGCGCACATCACTCCGGCTCGCCTGTTACACGGGCTGCACGGATGGCCCTCGCGCGCCGCTATAAAAGTACTACTTGGGTTAGCTTAGCCTGCCCTGGCAAGCTGGCCACCGCACACCCAGACCCCATCCCGAACGCAGAAGATCCCGTGCCAGACAGCGGCGGCGACGGTGTGTGGACTAGACTACGAATTGCCATCAATCCAGGCATCCCCGTGCACCCGTAACCCCGCTGACGCCGGCAATGGCGCGGCTCGTGCTCTCCGAGTGCTGCGGCCTCGCGCCGCTGCGCCTGCGCGCCGGCCGCCGGGGCGCCGCCATTGCGGCGCCGTCGCCCCCCGCGCTCTCCGCAGCGGCGGCGGTCCCGGGCCGCCCCGCGTCCGCGGCCATCCACCGCGACTGGGCGCTCCGCGTCTCCGCGCCCACCCGCCTCACCTCCGCCGTCGAGGAGGACAAGAGGAGCTCCCCGCTCGGGGAGGAGGACGTGGGCGCGGCGGTCAGCGGCGCCGCGGGCGGGGAGTTCGACCCGGGGGCGCCCCCGCCATTCGGGCTGGCGGAGATCCGCGCAGCCATCCCCAAGCACTGCTGGGTCAGGGACCCCTGGCGCTCCATGAGCTACGTGCTGCGCGACGTCGTCGTCGTCCTGGGACTCGCCGCGGCGGCCGCGCGCCTCGACAGCTGGATCGTCTGGCCGCTCTACTGGGCCGCGCAGGGCACCATGTTCTGGGCGCTCTTCGTCCTCGGCCACGACTGGTACGCCTCCACGATCCACTGCAAGGATTGGATTTTCATGCGAGTTTTAGCTTTAGACTCAGGTCTTTGACTTCTGCCGCGCATGTCTGCTGTTTGCAGTGGACACGGGAGCTTCTCAAACAATCCCAAGCTGAACAGCGTGGTCGGCCACATACTCCATTCCTCCATTCTTGTCCCATACCACGGATGGTAGGAGTACCCATGTTTCTTATGCTTGTTAGTTTATGTCGAGGATTGTCGTTGATGTTAAGGAAGGACCTGTCTTTGAATGGAATTTCAGGAGGATTAGCCACAGGACGCACCATCAAAACCACGGCCACGTTGAGAAGGACGAGTCCTGGCACCCGGTAGGTTTCCTGTCGCTCTCTCTTTTGGTGGAGCTTGAGAAGCTATGCTGATGGTGCATGTCGTTGAATGGTGCTTGATGGTTTCTCGGATTGTGATAACTTGCAGCTACCAGAGAGGCTGTACAAAAGCCTGGACTTTATGACTAGGAAATTGCGGTTCACCATGCCGTTCCCCTTGCTCGCATTCCCGTTATACTTGGTGAGGCTAAGAACATGTCTATCGATGACGCATGAATTGGATGAATGGACGATTTTGTTTTATAGCGTGGTAGTGGTGCTAAATTCCTGCCCTGTGGGTTCATGTGTGTTATGTAGTTCGCAAGGAGTCCAGGGAAGACAGGATCACATTTCAACCCAAGCAGTGATTTGTTCCAACCTAATGAAAAGAAGGACATCATAACATCGACGGCGTCCTGGTTGGCCATGGTTGGTGTTCTGGCTGGTCTCACCTTTTTGATGGGTCCTATTCCGATGCTAAAGCTCTACGGAGTCCCATACTTGGTAAGAGCGACATGTCCTCCTCTTCAGGCCCAACTTCTGCAAAAAGATAATTTTAATGGGTGGTGTCTGTGGTGCTGGAAATTTATGTGGCTGCTGCTGGTGTGTGCAGGTATTTGTTGCTTGGCTGGATATGGTCACATACTTGCACCATCATGGCCACGAAGACAAGCTTCCCTGGTACCGTGGAAAGGTGATTATTAGCAAAGCAATTTTCCAATTTGTTGATATTTCAAGGTCACTGTAATCTTCAAAAACTACGGTTACTTCCATTTTTGGTTGGTTAGAAGCTTTTGAATGTTTACCTCAGCTAAGTCAGGACGTTATTAATCACAGCGAATTGTTGAATCATAATACATCCTATCCTAGAAATGGAAGATGTGTAAGGACACACCATACCAGAAATGTTAGATGCGCAATGACTTCCTCTCCTTTTGATCTACCAGTATTTTAGATAAAATTGGCTGCTTTCCATGGTGCCATTTGACTTCAGTATCTGTAGGCTATCTGTTATTGCTGGTAGATACATGTTTGGTAGACTGATAGGCTTCAACATCTGGACTCACTTTGTTTGCAAGTGGCCAGCTTGACTGAAACCTTAAATAATATAAACCCTAGTGGTGGATATTACAAATCAAAGTTCTATACTTTCTGGTAATTTTCTGGAGTAAGACCTAATTGGAGGATGCTATTGTACTATTGGGCAAAAATGTCTATTCCTGTTTTGTCGTTTTGAGGGGAAAAGATGGAGTAAGTTTGTGTTTTGTCACTTTTACCGAGTATAATGCTAGGTCAGCCTATATTATATAGTTTTCACTTTACTTTTCAGATTACCAACTGCTGTTAATTTACAAGTGTTTCTATCCTGATTTCTCCTTTTGAAGATAGATTGGTTATTGATACCACATTGTCCTTTTCTATATTATTAGGAATGGAGTTATCTGCGTGGAGGACTGACGACACTCGACCGGGACTATGGATTGATCAACAATATCCATCATGACATTGGAACTCATGTCATCCATCACCTTTTCCCTCAAATCCCGCATTACCATCTCATTGAGGCGGTAAGAGTTTCCCTATTATTGCCTTTTTCTTTTTTATAAGTTTCTTTGCCTAGATCATAAGACCTGTTCTTGGATGACCTGCAGACTGAGGCAGCAAAACCGGTTCTTGGCAAGTACTACAAAGAACCAAAGAAGTCGGGTCCTCTCCCGTGGCACCTATTTGGGGTGCTAGCACAAAGCTTAAAGCAAGACCAATATGTTAGCGATACTGGAGATATAGTCTATTACCAAACTGACTCTGCACAAAAATCTGATTGACACAGACTATAGAACGTAGCGTATTCTTTATTTTTCTCAGGGGGGCTGTGCCTGAAGAAGACCTGACCAGCCTCCCGGGACCTCGGATTGGTGTGACTGGGTACGTCAATTCAAGAATGTAAGCTGGTATAAGAATTATCATGTATGGGAGGGTAAATGTAATTCTTTCCAATGATCGAAGACGGATGCTGCTTCCGATGTAACTAACATGTGATTCTTTGGACAAGAGGCATACTGTATGTTACGGTAAAGAGTGAAAAAAAGAGAGTTAGCTACATGAAAGGCTTTCCGAGCTCTGTATGTATACCTCTGATGTTTCAGCTGCCCTGAGTGCGACATGAGCCTGATCGTACGACAGCGAAATGCCTTCTTTGGCATGCTCACGCGCTAATGCTTGCTGGAAACCAGTAACATTGTATTCTCTTTCTCTCTTGGCAAGGGAGAGAGCAAAGCGATGGGGTTTTCAGCAGTTGGAAAACGGCCCATCGCTGTCACATTTTTTTTGCTGCCCTCGTTTGCGGGGAAGCCTGAATGGTGGTGGCAGTTGCACTTGGAGTGGAGCTGAGTCCTGGTGGGATCCGTTCCAATACCAAGTGGGTTCCTGTCGTTTGTCACTACTGGCCGGAACCCAATCCAGCCCGCCCTCTTCTGTTCCCCCAAAAATCTGCACCCCATCTTATGGTGTGTGTGTGTGGCTGCCGTTCAAGGCTTCAAGCTGCAGGGCCCAGCGCAAGTTCTCCTTGTCGAATCAAACCAAGGCCATGTCGACCCGTTTGGGGGTGGACACGCCTTGCGTAATCCGCGAGATGTGCGTGCCCCTGCACCGCAGGAACTCAGGATAGGCCGGCATGAGCTTCCCCCGGCTGGGAATGAATTGAACACTATCCTATCCTAACATGGAAAGGCGCCGACAAAAGCAAGCGTTTCTTTGATCCGCTGCATTCTTCCGTTTCTTACAATTGTTTTTTTCAAGCACTAGAAATTGAACTGAAGATTTCAAAAGGGGGGAAAACCTATCAGAATCGCTACGTCTCCCATGTATCTATCGCTTAATACCTTTCTTGTCGCCCGCGGAAACTTTTGGTCCTTGGCATTAGGACTTTTCCCCCTTTTGCTTCAGTTTTGAAAAAGCCAATGTCTCAATCTTGGACCTCGTCCGCTTCGCTGAAAAGATAGGTTAAAAATACTATTGGCTCATTTATTGTGAGAGAAAAACATTGATAAATCAGGCTGATAAGTTCAAACGAACAGGGCCTTGGCTCACCCTGTTGCCGTCCCTGTTTCGTATCTCGTCTTCCAGTGACCCCAGATTACATCATGCCAGATTGAGTCAGAACCATGCCTTAATAATCTTCTCATATTCTTAGCACGCATAGTGGATTTGGAGCAGAGCTTCGTTACCGTTTATTTCTTTGACTGAATCGGAGAACCCAGCTCGAGCGCGCAGGTGGAGCAGGTCGGTGGCTGCATTATAGAATCACGTTCATTGGTCAGGCACTCAGCCTTACGAGGCTGCGACTGCAACGATGAAGAGAAACATAGCATGACCACGTTTCCTTGCGGCAAAAGCGTGCTCTTCCCATAAGCTGTTGTTTTAACGTGTAGTCGATACATACAAATGTTTCCTTGTGTCTCATATGTTGGATGAACTTACACCTCGGACACACCGCAGCTGCAGCGGCCTTATTTGGATGCGCATGTATTCATTTCAATCTACATCCACATGTGTTGAAGTGAATTTGAGTGGAATTAAATTAAGTTACATTCCATTCCACTCCAACACATATGGATTAGAATGAATACACGTGCATACAAACGAGGCCTAATTATGGCGAGAACATGAATAGCCGGGGTCCGTCCACGGTCTTCGCTCACTTCCTCGAGTGGTGGCGGTCGTGTGACGAATTGACGATGGAGCCTGCAGGGTGGTGTGACCCGGTAGCTGGTTGAGCCAAGGAGACGGGGAAGTAGCGGAGCGGAGGCCGCGCACGCGGGATCGCGGCCGCGCCGTCAAAGACTACGGTGGATTCGACTCGACGATCAAAGAGCGCTGAATGCAACGGAGGACCCGGACCGGACTGGGCAAAAGGCTCTTTTTTTTCAGCAAGGGCAAAAGATACCATCAGTCAGCAGCGAGCAGCGAGCAGCGAGCAGCGAGCAGCGAGAAGCCTGTAGCCCGTATCGTTCTGATTGGGCTTCCCACAGTCTTTAGGCGGCGGGCACAAACGCACTAGTCGGTTGGGCCTGTTTAGTTATTTTCTGGGCTCAAACGACGGGCCCAATAACTCTACACCTATAACTTCCATGTTATAGGTGTAACATGTTGTGTGAAAGACTCTGTTACAGATGGATATGCTGTGTGAAAGATTGATTGCATTGATGATTGACCCAGCGGCCGACGTGTGCAAGCCTCACATGTTCAGCCACTGGAGACCAATGACTTGTGAGTTGGGCCTGGTGCCGGCATGACTCGGATGGCCCAATATGTATGACGGTACTATATTGTGCTCTTGGGCTTGAGTTGCTGACATTGTTAAACAGTAACACGACACAAATCTATTTCAATCTGCTACGAATCTATCTCAAGATGCAAGCTATCCGCATCGATCCCCATTAAATATCTACAACATCTTCCACTAATAATGATATCGTTCCACTAACTTCCAACCTCTTAATGCAAGCTATCCACGTAATCTCCACACACGTAATTTCAGTCTAAGCTCTCCACACTTAATATTGTTAAGATTGCGAAAAAAGAAGAAAACAAAACCAAAATAAATATCCTATCAAAAATTCAGCCCAAAAACATGCATTCTCCTACATCTTTATACTTTACATGCTAAATATTAGCCTTTAGGTTGTTAAAAACAGTTTTTATCTCTTTATATTTTGAATACACAACCTCAAAATCCTAAACCCGCCAGCCTAGTACTTCCTCTTTAAGTGGATCGTAGTAAAATCAAAGTTCATCTACTTCCTTTTTAGGCCTTGTTTGGATGCATGTGTATCCAAACACATGTGGATTGAGATGAATACATACGCATCCAAATAAGGCCTTAAGTGGATTTTAGGAATGTATAAGTCATTTTACACTCAAAGCAGATATAATTATATCTATAAACATCAGGAAAAGCGAGTCTAATAAAAGCGGTTCTAAACGACATGGCTTAAGCGTCGTGCCTCGTGCGCCTGTCACCTGCACTTGCTTGTAGATTAACCATGGTAATAATAATCTTTTAGGAGTATAATCCTTCTTCCTCCTGCATCCTGCTGTTTCTCCTCAGATTGAAAGACGCAGCCATAGCAGCCAACGATTGGAAAGCTGAAAGGTTGATGAAGAGCAGCGGTATTTGCGGTTAAATCCAGATATGGTCTAGCGCCAGGAGTACCAAGCACTCTTCCCCTGCATTGACATGTACACCCACGAGGTCTGTACTGAAAACAACCGATCAGAAAAAAGGTATCTGTAAAGAAAAGTGGAATGCAGTCGTGACTCATGAGCATTCCACCTGTACCTACCTATTCTTCAGGATGCGTTTCCCATGTGCAATATAAAAAAAAGATCACGGACAGCTGGGAAAATGAACCTTGAGATCTCTTCATGTCGGCGAGCTCCATAGCTACAGTACGACACTGACAGCTTGTTGCCTCCGCGACATTTCCTGGTAGCCACATGTCATTCCTAGTCATGTCACGTTTAGGCGCTGTGATAACACACGCGTGTCTCTAAACGACTACTGCAACTACCGCGGAGTCTCCGATCGACCGAAACGTGTCGTCTGACCATTCAAAAGAAATCTATGATGATGTCGTGAGGAAACGTTGCAATTTCAGGGTCGGTGCAGCACCGGCCGCGCGTTTGCTTGGCCGCCCCCCGCCGCGAGTGTCGAGTGGCCGTGCCAGCGGCGCGGGGAGCGTCACGTCGCGTCACCGGCTCATGTCGCGATCGGGCCGGGCGGGGGCGGCGGGTGTCGACATGTAAACCACGCACCCGCCGCGGGCGGTGCGCACACGCACATTGCTCTTGTAGCTAGCGCTGTTTCCGGTTATGACGTTGCTCTCGCGCTGGTCCAAGCGAGATGGGGATGCATGCGAGAGTTGGAGTACGCGACGCGATGAGTCTCAGGCGCCGCGCAAGCTAGAAGAAGGCCAGGAGCGAGCGGCGTAAGGCGCAACGTCAGTGCCTGCAGCTGCCTGGAGGGCTAGACCAAAGAGCTAGTAGTACCTTTATAGGTACACAGGTGGAAAATCCGATTATCCGAATCCAGCTAGTAGTACCTAAGGTACACGTGGAAATCCCGATTATCCAAATCTTTATCCGCTAAGCCTGTTCGTTTGGTGGGTCTTTGGTCTTTGATTTGACCTACTTACTCTTTGTTTTTGTGAGAGAAAAATATCATTACTTGTACCAAACCAATGTTTAATGACAGTGAATAGAACTTATAATATAAATATCTATATTTGTTTTCACTATGATTTTATATATTGAATGGGTGTATAAAAATCTATTTTCCATTTTTTATCTGATTATTACAGATCCGTATTAAAAAAAATTGGATGGATATCTAATAGCATCCATATCAGTGAAGAAATAGTATGAGGTGAAACTATGTTATTTTTGTGACTACTGGCTAATTATATTGATTTTATAACATTCATAATACTAGCAAATGAGCCGTGCATTGCAATGGAATGTATATATGTCTTATTGCATGATTATCTAAACGACGTTTGACTTGGAGGTTTTATTAATGGCTGCATCACAGTTTCAATATGTATTCGAATAGGATTTTATATGCTATAGGTGGACCCACATATGTGGGGTTGTTTTAACTCATATGGGCATGAGCTATGAGTTTAGATCAAATATGGATCAGGAGAGACACGAGAGTACTATGGGAAGTAAAAAACATGGTTGGAAGTACCATTCGTTTTTTAAAATTAGCTAAGTATAGGTATTTAGATTGGATAACAAACTATTTAAGATTTTAGCTTACGGT